CTGAACCTGCTTGTGATTGGTGATGACCTGGCGGATGCCATTGACAAAGCCGCTCTGGTCGTAGGGGATCAGCCCCATAAATATCTTCTTCTTGGAGGAGTACAGGAGCATGAGGACCCGCACCTCACAAGGTGTGGTGTGGGGGAAGTGCACGCAGCCCGCCTGCCAATGAGAAGGGCGGAGGGGGTCAGGCCATGCCCCTCAGAAATAGGCCATAACCCAACCTGACCACTGTCCTGCATGGGAAAGGGTGAGGCCCCACCCACTAGGACAGTCCCAGCCCCAGCGGAATAGGCCATACCGCCAGAAAGCCACCATCCTGCAAAGGAGAGGGTCAGGCCCCATCCACTGAGATAGGCCTGGCTGCAAGGAATAAGTCACCCCCTAGGTGACAGCTGTCTTGTACAGGAGAGGTAGACCTCATCCACTGGAGCTAGACCCCACCTCTGGGATAGGCCCCGCTCCAAAGCAATAGACCACACCCAAAAGGTGGTTACTGCCCTGTATTGGAGAAGATTAGGCCATGCCCACTGTGATAAGCCCTGCCCCAAAAATATAGCATCCACCTCCCTTCCAAGAAGCCACTTTGCAAGGGAGCAGGCAGGGAAAGTGCAGGCATTCCCCTGCAAGGGAGATGAGTGGGGGCACATGAGGTCCTGCCCCCTTGAGGAGGCCCTGTCTCCTTGGGGGAGGCCCCTCTTACCACAGGGTCAGGCCATTTGTGAGGTGGGGGAGGGCCATACCTCGAGGATAAGCTCAGCTCTCTCCTATACACCCTGCTTGCAGGGGGAACATCTGATTATGCCCATGGCCCCCCACAGGGATACTGCCTCACTAGAGAACAGCTTGGGGGAGGAGGGGGGCTTCAGAGCCCTTATGCAATAGGGGCAGGGTTAGACTCTACCCCTGTGATAGGCTCTGTCCACCACCGCTTGCAGGGAGTTGCGAGGTGGGGTGGGAATCAGAGATCCCACCCCTAGACCAGACCTTCCTCACCCAGGGCCCCTTGCCATACTCCCACAAGAAACATCCCCAAACCCTGACCCTCTACATTGTGGCACTAGCCAAGAGGTTCCTGTGTACACAGCCCTGCAACGCACCTGAGCCAGCCACATCTCTGCACTGAGCAAGGGGTCTCTTGTACCTTCAAAACATCCTGCCCCAGAAGGGGGCAGGGGACAACTCCTTGGGGCCCTATAGATCCTGGGGCTAGACCCCAGGGTCAGTGGGGGCAGCAGGCACTGGGGTGAGGAGGAACTGAGATGTGTTCACACATCTCTCTGCAATAGATGCTGCATGAAAAAGTTTTAGGGGAGGAGGGTCACCCACTTACAAAGCTATGGCCTGAGGTCCCATATGGGCTGGGGGAGGGGAGGGGGAGGAGATAGGGAACAGGAGGTACCCTGGGTGGGGAAGGGGCCAAAATGGGGCATAGCTGGGAGGCAAGGGGGGGGAGGGGGCAGAGATCAGTCTCTTACGAAGCCGTTGCCCATGATGCGATACAGCCCCTTGAGAGACTCCAGGTCCTTGTTGGTGAAGTTGAACTGCACCATGCGCGAGTTTCGGAAGAGGGGCCCCAGTGTGGTCTGTGAGGAGGGCAGGGAGTTAGTGCCATGCCTTGGCTTGCCCCCCTCTCCCCACCCAAAACATACCCAAGGAAGCAGAGATGGGGGAGAAGGAACAGTGCTGGGTCATGCACCTCCTGTGTGCAGGCATCATTCAACAGGCATGTACCCTCCCATCAGTACCCCCTGCCACCCCAAGTGTTTATCAGCACAGTCTGAATCACAGAGCAGTCAGGTTGGAAGGGACCTGCAGAGGTCATATCTAGTCCAACCCCCTGCCTCAGGCAGGATCAGCCCTAGCCAAACCATCCCCTACAAATCCATCATCTAAACTCTTTGTAAAACATCCGTCAGCCCTGACACAACACAAAACATCACAGCTGAACCTGCCACAGGTAAAGCAGGGACCACAGCAGCCAACATGCTGCCGCTGTAGAAGGGTGTTAATACACACTTGAGATCCCAGGTAGAGGCTACAACCCCCCACCAGAGGAAGGCAAACCCCCCATCCCCAGTCTACAACAATCTGACTAGGCAGGAAAGGCTTAAAAACACCCTGACATGTGTAGCAGAAAGTGGGAGGGGGCAACCAGCAAAGCCCAGAAACCTGGGAAATCCCCAGGATTTATGTCCATATAGTTATGTGTAACTATATGGACATAGTTACACATAAATCATCCCTGACCAAGGGCTGTCCAGCCTCTTCCTGAACACCTTCAGGTGACCCCACCGATGCCTGGCTCCCACAACAACAGGAGGCTGCCTTCTCCATCCCCGTCTCAATCTCCCCAGGACTTA